TAATATTTACATATTATTTGTCTCATTTCTAGCCTCAGCAATATAAACATACGATGTTCCTTACTTGAAAATAGAATCTCGATATAAACGATATTACTTTTATAAGTATTTCGTATAAATATATGATTTCTTACAAATTTATCGATACATGTATTTGTTAGTCGTATTATATGTTGAAATTAAAATGAAAAGACGGACGAAATGTTTAAAAAAGTAAAAAAGAAAAAAAGGGGAATTAAAAATATTACAATGAATTAAAAAATGTAGCAATGATTATTGTTATTACATGTTATGATATGGCTATTATCAAAAACACCAAATTAGTTATCCTAATGGTTATCGTGTATCAGGCAGATATCATTAGAGTGAAAAATGATAATGGATCTATTAAAAAGATAACGAGGCGCGCGAATTTAAATAGCGGCATAATGAAAGTTCATTAAGATATAAATATCGCGTAAATTATATAGATGAATCGATGGTATTATCAAGAATTTTCATCGAACATGAGAGATAAGCAGAATCATTGTAAAATCGTTTCACGATGCGTATAATTGTTTGTTGCACGTTTTTATTAAAAGTGAAATGAAAAATTATTAACGAAAAAATTAGATATCCTTGCATTTAGAATTACATATAAAGATTTACGAATATTATTTTTAAGATATTTCGCGGAAGAAGCGAAAAATATGATAATTAGAATTAACACGTTTGATTAAGTGCCATGATCATGAACATTTATGATATCTTTTGAAAAATTCATTTCTAAAGGACAGAAATGTTAATGGCTCTTAAGAAAGAGAATATTTTTTAACATCTATCGTTCAATATATGATAATTTAGATAGTGAAAAAATGAATTTTTAAAGTGCGCTAAAAGACGCAATGTGACACACTTTTTTACCAGTTCAACAGACTTTATCCGTAACTGTAACAACGAAGCTAATTTACATATTGGAACAGACATTTGCGGATGATGGAACGAATATGGTTTAAATTTAACATTGATAAAAAAATATAAAATAATTTAAAGAAAAATCATATATCTGTCATCTGAAATCATATATATTACGTACATCATATATCTGAAACGAACCAATACACGATGATTATTTTCAATAACATTTAGCCAAAATAAGATAATATATCATTTTAATCATACTTTATTTTCTTATTGCTCCGTTCTATTCAAATTCTCGATTTTTAATAGGAATCACGATATTTTTAATTAAAATTATTTTCAATGACAACTGCAAAATATTTTATTTTCAAATGTATATATTTTATTTCAATAATGCTTGAGTCTATCCTACATTACATTCTATCTCTTCGATCCAATGTACTCCCTTTCTCCAGATCTTATATCCAAATTTCTTTCTTAAATGTATACCGCGCATCGACACATACATGAACTCGTTCTTCCTCCATGTTACAAATTCCCCCATAAACCCACTTTCCCATTTTCCTTATCGCTTCGTCGCCGTTTCAAAACCAGAAATGCGATTGCACTTTTTTTTTAACAAACCTGGAGTAATCATGTTATCTAAGAAAAGATGATAAATTCTAAAACTATGGAAGAAATTCCTTTCTCAATTTCAAGATCGTATAATTCTGTGGATCGTGTTGAGGCAATGATCTGAGGCGATGATCTGACCTCGGCGAGGCATCATCGCGGATGGCGCAACGAAACGATGCGGAAGAGAAGAGAGCATAAAAGCGGGGCAATAAGAAAAATCCGCATACCTATTCGTGGCAACGAAGGGGAATTTTTCAGTGCTCCGAATACATAGTCCAGCCTAGTCACGCTTCGTGAATCGTGAATGGAATGAAAGTGATGATTAAAAATTGTTGGGACCACGGATACCCGAGAAAAATCTGCTCTTTTGTCTTCGAATATGAATTGAATACTTATTAATATTTCCTTTTTTTTTTTTTGGTTAAATGCATTAGATTTACAATTTAATAGATAAATACAAAAGATTGATATATACAAATATCGCTCGAGGCTTATTTATCAATTCGTACACAATTGAAGTTTGTGTTAGTTAAAGTGAGATAAAAATAGAATTTCTGTCGTTATTTTGCTTCATCTAACATTAATTTCAATTGCTTTAAAGAACCAGACATCTCTCCTTCATATAGATGTCCCACGAATACATTAATATACAACATTTCATTTGATGAAATATGAAAAATATACTTCAAAAAAGACAAATAAAATCATTTATTGCTTGGATAAAAAAATCTACTTTTATGTGAATTATTCATTTTTCTAAATAAGAAGTTTCGAAAAGATATTAAACTAATTTGTTTTTAAGATTTTATCGAATATTTATGGTAAATCACATGCAAGAAAACTATTAAAAATTATTTATTCTCGGTTGTAATCTTTTTTTATAGATTTCTACAATTTTTAATATTAATAATGTATATGTATAATCTCATATAGAAAAAAATTTAAAATAATTCATCTAACGAAAGTTTTTATAGAAATAATTTTAATTTTAATTAAAATATCGTGATGATTCTTAAAAATCGAGAATACGAATAATGAAATAAAATTATTTTCACGAGGAAAAATTGTAAATCTCAGGTAATAGAAATAATAATACATCGTATGATTTCATATAGTAGAAAGTAGGTATGTTTCGGTGATTCTTTATCCAAACGAAAGCATGTAAAAGTTTCAGTTTCTTCTTCAACCATTATATAAACAACACAAAATATTTTTCTACACTATGTAGTAAAAATTATATATCGAAGGATTATATAGAATTTTTATAATTTTAAAATTTTGTAAAGAAATTGTTCGCTCATATAGTAAATAATGTATCGTTCAATTTATATACGTATGATTTGGACTAGATGCTTCTCTTTAGAGAAATCAATTTTGAAGAAGGATGTGTATCACGATATGAATTAGAAGTTAAAATTGTTCAAAAATAGCGTTTCTATCGCACGAAACAACCTCGTCGACATATTTTCCATCGTCTCTTAGACATTAGGAACGATATTCGCCTCTTTCTCGATGAAAATTTCGCTCAACCGTGTCGTATAATTAGTAGTACACAATATTAAGTGTTACGACGCTCTTAATCTCTGCTGACACGTTTCGTTCTACCCTCATTCGGCCAAATATTATTTAACATACGTCTCTTTGATCAGATAAAAAAGAAAAAATATAGATATTTTTACGATAATCTTCATGATTATTAGACGAATACGAAAATATTCTTTAGGATTATCCGCTTAAAGTAAAATTTGAAATATGTTGAAAATTATTATCATTTCTTTCAACATTTAGAGATTATAAAAAGAAATTTATATTTTCATCAGTCGTAATTATCATATTTACATTTTTAATAAAAGAATTGTACTTGATGGTACAAAAATTTGATTAAATTCGAAAACCAATAAAAATCCATATTATTGCGTTAATTGTAGAAAAAGGAAATAATTGATAATTAATGATATAATTTTCGAACGAACAAGTAGTACAACCAATTATACTAAATCTAAATTTTATTTCCATTCGAAATTGTTTTGCATTAAATTATTTTTTAAATTTTTCATACATGAAAGAATTTAGAGTAACCATGATTAAATAATTAATTGAAATATTTAGTACATATTCAATTAATTTATAATATTTTATAATTGTATTAAGAAAGTTTAAAATTTTAATATCTCATCGTTATTCGAGGATATTTTCTTTATCTCAAATAGAATTGAAATCTAAAAGTAAAATTGAGAAAAGAAAGAGATTTTTTTCATTCATCGTCCGTAGAGAAGTTTGATATTTTCTTGGTGAAGCATGAAGCGATCGATGCGTGTTCAGAGGCAATTTTCAGCTCGTGAAGTAGGTGAATACGTGGCCAAGGCGCGAACAGCTGCGAACTCGTCTCGAGAGTGGAACGAATGATCGTTCAGAGATTTTTCTGAGTACTTAGGGAGAGGGATGCGGTGACGAGGCCGTATGGTCAAATTAACATAAGTGAAAATCTTCTTTTTCTTCGTGATCCCGTCTAATTGCAGTGAAATCTTTGCTGCACGGTATACGTTTCGCGAATTCCATTAAATATAACGATTTATTCTAAAAATATTTATTTTAAGAAAATCAATTCGAAATTTCTTCTCGAAAAATTTCTTCGTGTATTTAAAGATGAATAAGCTAAAAGAAGATGAGAAATTTTAAAAAATTTTGAGCGAATGATTTCATAGTAACGTTAAATTCTTAACAGTTGAATTTATTAAAAATAGAAAAAAATTAAGAATTACAAGATTCTGAATTAAAATTTTTACCGATTATATATTCTAACTTTAATTTAATTGTATGTGTATACAAAACGTCATTTTAACAAACGTATAAATTATTAAAAAAAAATGTTTCATACAAAAATTATATAATGTTATAAGGAAAAGATAATTTTTCTTTTTAAGTGGATACAAAAAAATATATATCATAATCAATATTGTTAATAACGAGCATCAACATTCAATCATTCGAGTTGACGAAAATAAAATAATTGCTACGAGAACGAATAAAAATTATAAAGGAAAGTAATTAATATGTATATTTACCGGTAAAATTGCAGCGACGCATTCTTCGGGTGTTCCGCTTTCGGCCTCCACCGAGGCGAACATCGCTTCGATCCGCGCTTGTACGGCGCTGTTCACCCGCCTCTGCTCCTCCGCCCCCACGTTCTCCGCGTAATTCGAGTTCACAGTCGATACCCCACCGTACCAACCCCCAACGTTCGATCCGTAAATCGATCTATAAATCAATAAATATTGAATGACATTTAATTCCTTTAATTTCTAATATATATATATTTTTTTTTAGAATTTAAGATTTTGGGAAATTGAGAAGCATCAAATTTGTACCTCGAGTCCTCGAAAAGGGCATCAATGCGAGCTTTGCTCCTGAGAGAGCATTCCGATGCGGGACCAGCCAATCGGAAGCCATCTTCGTAACAGGACATCCCCACGCAAGACATTTTCAATTTAAATTATATTAGAATAAAATTCACGTCTTGCACGCTCCCTATGGCTTTTCTCTTGCTTGTATTTCTATATATCGACGTCATTCGTTCTGAAATAATTCAATAATGGCTTTTTTTTTTAATAAGAGGTAATTATCACTTTAAAATTATATTCAATCGATTCTTTATCGTTTCGATATTGATTGCTTGATTACTGATTGTTTGTACATTGTTTTAGATCAATATCTTTATTTTGAATGAAAAGCAGCATCTTCGATGGTAATTTGATATCAGCAGAATCTTAGGATACACATACAAAGTACATATCATTTAAATAAATCGTGTATCAATTTTAAAGAGACAGTTATAAAGAAAAAGCTTCACTCTTCAAATTTATATGCAGTTTTAAATGTTTAAAAAATTTTTTAGACATTTGATGTCAGTTTGAATTTTATTAATTTTCTTGAAAGAAAAATCTTCATTTTTCACTATTCATTTTGTGGTGTAAAATGATTTTTTTTTCGAGAAAGAAAGAAAGAGAATTTAGCATAAGAATAGATGGTTCAATCTTCAAAACGATCTCACGAAAATTTCTGTACGAGTATTTTTCACAAATTTATTTATGATCAACAATGTATATTGACGAATCAATGCAACTTTCTTTGTTAACAGCAAAAAGAGACCTTAGATTATTAACGACGGTAAGAAAGAGAAATGTCAATGAACTTTTGAACGTCCAATAAGAAGTTTACGAAGATAAGTGGCGGTGAAAAAATTCGCAGGATTCGATTGTGGAGATCTGGCAAGGATCTCACCTCGTTTCCACGGACACTTGCCGCTGATCCGCAACCTGCGTTAAATTTATGCGAGAACAAACCGCGTCGGACATACTAGCAATTAAAACTGTAATTGCAGGCAAGAAAATTGGATAAGAAAGACTTATCCGATCTTCTCGATGGACGGCTTTCAAAGTTTCAGTAAAAGTGATAGCTACTCGTAATTTCACCCTTCGGTATGATGCTCTTATCCATGAATATCCATCCTATTCTTAGTAAAGGTGCAGGATGATTTTTTTTTGGAACAGATTCTTTTATCTTTAACGAGTATATTAATTTGCAAAATCTTCAAATCTTATATTTTTCAATATATTTTTAGGAAAAATAATACTAGTAAAATTATTATAGTTTCAAATAATATATGACACATTTTAATACTGATTTATTGAGTCGTATCGTGTATTTAATGCACGTATAATAGTTGAAATGAATTAGTTGTAATAAATTATGCTTTAAGTATTTTTAGATTTATCTTTTTTTTATTTTAAATTTTTTATTTAATTTTAACAATTATGAAGAAATTCAAGTTGTAATTGTTTTATTTTTAATTTCAAAACAATAATTTAAATAATAGAGATTATCTTGAGATGAATAATATAATGTCAACATGATCTATATATATATATATATAAAATTTTAATTTTCCTTATAATTTTAAAAAATATAAGGACAACTTTTTTCATAATTATCAATCTTTTTATACAAGAGATTCAATACGCCATAACTATGCGAGTTAAGTTCCCAATGAATCAATGAATCTCGTTCAATTTCCTTACGGTTTGAGTTTGATCGTAAATCGTAACTAGAACATCTTTGCTATTGTTGCATCAGCGAATTCCAAAGGAATTTTTACGCTCACAAGTTCGCAAGTCACACGAAACCTGGTTTAGAATGGATAAGAAGGAATTATGTTTCGCGAATCGCAATTGTTTACCGCGATAGAAATCGCGAATACGCGGTACTCGATAGAATTATTGCATGCATGCCATCGACATGAACACCGCTCGATTTTCACCTGCCACTCGCGTTTCTTTTGAACATTGAAGGTCTTTCGGGAAAGAAACGATGCGAAACTTGAATTTCACGATGTGTGATAACATTTTTTAACATCTATATAATATTTCTTGAGAATATAACTTCATTATCAAAAGAATGGAAATTGATTCATAGAGATATCGTCTTAATTTTACATTGCTAATGCTTTATAATGATTCTTTGAACCGTTTTATAAAATCGAGATTATATATTCGAGTGAGCTGATGAGAATAGCTATACAAATTTCGTATGCGAGGAGCAAAGTTATTATGAAAAATTTGTATGTGTATTAAAAATTTTAATACTAAAAAGAATCTATTTTTTTAAATTATTCGTGTATGATCAGTAATATATAAATACTGTGATTTCATATTTTAATATTTAATAATTTGATTCTGTTATTAAAAGATGAAATCTGATATTTGTGAAATTTTATATTATTAACATAGCATTACATTTACAAAATCAACATTGTGCCATGACTAAATAAAAAAGATTCCTCATTGCTCTTGGAAAACTTTTTTAAAATATATAATTATATAATATATAATACCTCGTTCGTTATATAATTCTTAACACGTTTAAATTAATCAAAACAATAGAGAAGAATAATATATAAACAACAATGAGAATATTATTAATTATTGAAAATTTTAATTATAAAAGAAATATTTTTTCAAAAAGAAAGTTTCAGATTGTTTTTAAAACAAATTAAATCAAGTTTTAAACTCTGTTAAATGGATCTCTCTAAAAATATCGAATCACGTAACTTAATAATATTCAGAAAGCAAATTTATCTACATCGTATCGTAACAAGTATTGATTCTTTTGACTTCCAAGTGATTCGTATAAAAGCAATCCATAAAAGAACTCAGTCACTATCATTTTAATCGGTCCTCAATTCCAAAATTGTGAATGTCATTCAAAAACCAATAAAGAATCATTTCCTTCTGATATATCTATATGTATTGGGCCATGTCAGAATCCGTTCAGAATAAGTCGAAGAAGAATATAGTATATATATATATATAGTATATGGTAATTATAATTTCTAATTTACGAATTCTTCTGAAAAACGAAGCTGTGTAAAATCTTGTACAGTTATTCGGATCGACTTTTCTGAAGGTGGCTATCTTCTCAACTTGTGTATTATGGGGAATAACTGTCGCTGACACGAGCACTTAAACGAAGCCCATCTGTTCATATGTTCACCGTTGCACGCTCAAGTCGTGACCGATTATCGAAAATTGGACAATTATTCTGTCTGCTAATTGCAACAAACGGGAATGAATTTTAAATTTTGTTGTTCGTCTCAAATATTGGGGACAAATGTTGAGCAATTGGGTTAAATATTATTATAAAATTCACAAGTAATAGATCTATTCTAATAAATTTTGTGTGACAGATATAATGAAATATAGTAATAATGTCTTAATTGAAAAATTATAAAAAAGAAGTACTTAGAAACTTAATTGTTAACTTGTCAATTCAATAATGTTTATTTTAATTGATAAATTATTCTTAACAAAATGGCTTTAATTATTCCGTGATCAAAATCTTAATGATTGATATGTGACCATAGGATTTAAAGAAAGTCGCATATTTCTTAAAGGAATAATTTAGAACTAATATTTAATTTTTCAATTTTTATTAATTGAATTTAAATCAATATGAATTATACTTGTTCAATCGATACGAAGATGAAAAAGCTAATTTATAAATGTGAAATCACAGATAATTATGCATCATACGAGTAAAATAATAAATTGATAAAAAAAATATGAACAACATGAAAATATTTGAAGAACTTAAATTCAATCGTTACTTATCTCGAGTTAAAATTAAATACGTGCCTTAATTGTCTATTTAACAAGCCGCTGAACGAGATTTCATTTTTAAACGTAACTCAAACAAAAGAATGGTCCATAAACTTGAACGAAATCTATTCACGAGACATTAATTTTACTACTTTTTCTGTATTCTTTATCAACTTAATTTATCAACGAAAAATATTTTTTAAAACTACTACGTTATCAGTATTATATATAATATATATATATAAATTTAGAGATATATAATATAAATTTTTTTGGATAAATAATTTATAAGAAAAAACGATTGACTAAATTTAGATAGATTGTATTTACCATTTTTATTGTTAATTTCTTAATAATATTCTTCTGATAATAATAATAATCTAAAGTTAGAATTTAATAAAATAATATTATATTATATTATAATCAAAAGAAATATATATATATATATTATAGATATAAATAGATATAATTGATTTATCAAAAAAATGATTTTATTTTCCTTTTTTTAAATATCTTCTCAATTCATTAAATATTCTAACTATCATTTTAATAAATATAAATTTCGGACTAATTACAAGATAAAAATCAACCGCTGATTATTTAAACGCCTGTCATCTCTTCGAATGACGAAGTATGTATCTCTGTTCACGCGATGGCCGGCAAAGGCAATGAATATTAAGGTCGACAAATGGATATCAACATCACGTGTCGACGAATCGCATGAAGAAGCTAGTAGTTTCTTGATTTAAAGCGTGTGGATCGTTCAAATTACAATTATCAAGTTTATGGTTCGTTTGCCGGCCGAGTTCAGTCTGATGAAAATCGAATAAACAGACGGAAGTTACTAAAACTGGTCACACGAAACTGTTTGCGTGCGAAGGAAAATCGTGTCGAATTCACTCGCTCACTTCTTCGAGGTGAAAATCTCGATTCAGATAAATGGTTGGATAAATCGGGGAAAAATGGAAGTTGAAGAAAATAGAGTTTAAAATGAATAAGATGATCTTTGTGAAATTGAGTAAGAACTCAAATAAACAAACATCATTAATTTCTTTTGTCGCTATTTATCTTTTTTTTTTTAAATAAAATTTGCATATTTTTACTCAATTTCAGTTTGAAGAACTAATTTTTTTTTTAAGAAAGATAATTATTTTTGATATTTTAATAGTATTTATTCAAAGAATATTTATAAATATATTAAATGGGAAAAACTTTATTCTCATTTTTTTCTAGAAATATTCTTGAACTGAACAAATTAAATATATGAGATTTATTATTGTAATAGAATTAACGACAAAATGAATAATTATATGGATAATATTGTTATACGATTAAAAAAAAGAACATCGAATCTTTCTCTCTCTTTCACTTATATTTAAAAAATATTTTTCACTCTGAATCAAAGAAATTATTATCGAGAACGAGAAGAAGACAATTCTTCTAAAATCCCTCTTAATGACACATGATATGATATAACGATACATTAATAACGAATATATATATATATATTAAAATTTCATTCCACTTACTTTCCCAATCGATCCCTTAATCTCATTATTCCCAAAAAATCTTCAAGCATAGAAATATCCAAAATCCTCTCGAGAAACACCGATGCACAACCACCATTAATCCGATCCATCGTGAAAATCACTGGTCGATCCACGATACTCCAGATTCTTCCATCTTCTTCATTTATCGAAAATTACACGATCCTTTCGACGATCAAAGATCAAAGCACAATTCGATTCCAAATTCTTGTTTCACAAATCGAAACTTGGATTTTATTGAACTTGCTCTCTTTAAAATCGACGTCTCCCTACGTCGATTGGTGAACACACAGAAGAGAACATTGACGAACGACCTTGGCCGCGAGTCGATCCGGATGACCGTCGACGTGAAACTGCCGGGGATGTTCCGCAGGAGAGACTCGAGTTCTCTGGCCAGTGAGTCGGCTCCTCCACGCTGGAACGAGAAGGAGAAGGAGGAGGAGGAACAAGAGGATGAAGATCGACGGAGAGAGACTTTCTGCTCTCCTCGCGGTGCTTCATAGGAAGGGTGAACGTCTGGTCCCCCAGCTTTTTACCGGAACCTTGTCTCGAGTCACACGGATGACACGTACGCATCATTTTGATTAATCGATTTACTATCGATCTTTATTCAATTTCTGGAGATATGACGCTCAAGAGGTAAATAGAAAGTTGTAGTTTAAAGGGAAAATTTTCTATTTTTGGAATTCTTGAGAGAGTGAAATGATTACCTCTCTGGAAGACATTCATTTTTCTTTTTGTAATTCTTTTTTTTGATAATTTATTAAAATTATGGGTTAAGAACGATCTGTGAATTCCAATACGTTTCATAGAATTTTCTCCACTATTTTCTTTTCTAAAAGTGGGATACTTTGGATTATTAATTTCCAGAAATTTGAAAGATAACGATTAGATATTTTTACGTAAGAATAGTTATTTACGAAAGGAAAAGATTATAACATGCATTCCGTAATTATAAGTTTATCTAAATTTCTGCGTTTTAGCGAGAAGAAATTCGACAAAGCGGGAAAGTAGGTCGAAAACTAGTTACGTATATTATGCAAATTATCCTGTATTTAACGTGTAATTATCCAAAGGAAATGCTTAAATTACCAAGGAATTGAAAAATGCACGATACCTATTCATTACCATTATAATACTAACTCAAGACTAACTTATTTGCATCGAAAAGAAATTACAGGAAAAGACTGACTTCCCTATTATTCTCTATAATGGAACATTAATAAAAATAATTGATGATTTTCACGAATGATCTATTAAAAAATCGAAACTCACTCTATACTACCTATTAATTACAAATTTTCACTTCATCCTTATACCTATCCAAATGGTACCACATGGATCAAAGTAGAAATTAAAAAAAATCTAAGCTTAGCCTAAAAAAGCGTATACGTTTCAAATTTCACGCGATTGATCGATGAAGCGAGACTATTCGTATTCGTTCCAAAGATCGATACGAGATCACTTAAAACGAGATCTATATGGCGTTCTGTTACACGTTATTACATTGTATCCAGTGACCAACATTTTTATTCCGATCGTGAAAGGACGGCTGGGGTCAAGGGAACAAGGAGAGAAAAAAAAAAGATACGAGGAAAGAGGATGAGAATGAAGGGAGAAGCTGAGCAACCGCAGTCTGGATTCTCTGGTTTCCATCGCTGGTCCTCTTCGACGTAGTAACGCGGTAACCGATAACGGTACTGTGCTTCGACGGCGTTCACCAATGTGAGAGTACTGTTATTCCAACGATGCAGCTTTCCTCTCTGTTCCACTCCTGTCGTCGTTCCTTCTCGTCCTGTTCCTTTGCCACCCGGCAAGCGTGAAGCAACATGGACGGTTGTTAGTCGCTCCTTAGCGCTCGTCGAGAACGTCGAGAACATCGAGGAAGAATAGATAGCAGATCGTTGATAAGAATTTTTACAAAAACGACAGTGATTTGATTATATAACTGTTACGACATTTGCTAGATTAGGTTGAGGAGAGATAATGGAGAAGGATGAGTTTTAGTAATGATGGATCGAGTGATGTGATACGTTTAAGAACAGGTTAGATGAGAATTCTTTTGAAAATGACAGTGATATGATGATAATTATTCGAGCTGATGTACTTGGGAATATATATAATTAGCTTTAGATGAAGATAAAGAGATGAAATGAGCTTTGGATAGATGATAGATTAAGTGTTACAAGAGTTTAGAAATTGGATGGGGGTTAACGCTTAGTCACATGGAGGATTTAGAGGATTTAGAGCGAGTTTGTAAAATCAATTTACAGAAATTAAAAATAGTCGAATATTCTCTCGAATTCTGATAATGATACAAAGAATGATGAATTGAATGTTGGATAGCTAGAGATTGAATTAAATTTTCTATTCGATAAAAAGAAAATAAAATTTCTAGACAATAAGGTTAGATGTCACGTAAGTAAAAATTGAAAGTTTTAACTATGAGTTGATGAGATTTATTGGAAACTCAAGTAAGTAAGTAAGAGTAATAATGTTTTGTAAAAGCATTAAGGAATAGAATAGAAAATATATAAATGACGAATAAAAAGATGGTTAAGAAAAAAGTGATAAAATTATCTCGCATTATTTTCTTCCCCTATATGTAGATGGAAGGTAAGCAAAATAGGAAGCAATTACAGTTACAATCTGATCTTCGTTATAGTGATAAATGGCATTACACATTTTTTGAAGTATTGAAAAATATTTGCAAATTTTAAAGTTTGCATACATTACATACATTTTAATTTTCCACGAATTTAGTTTATATTTCTAGAGAAAAAATCCAATTTAGATAACATTTTCACGATAAAATTTCCTTGTATAAATAAATTTTTTCTTCCATCTGATGAACATGATACTGAAACGTTAGATACAGAAACTGTACTTACATGAATATATTTTTTAAGGATTTAGTTCACATTTCGATTTAGAAAAAAATTTTCTATGCACATGTTTCCTGAACTTGATACTGATGTTACGTACTAGATAGATCATATTTACATAATGATGGCTTTCGCTTAGTGGGATCAAAGTTCATCGTCGAATAAGATGGACTTGAAATTGCAGGTTTAACCAATACATCATACGGTACCAGAACATCATAAAGCATGCTCAATTACGTGTTCCCCATAAATTCATTTGCATACTTTAATTTCTTGTTTACGTTCCTCGTATCTGCTTCCCTTTTTTCATCACACGGTGTGAAAGTAATCGTTCGAATGATAAATGCGTTCTCAGCTATTTTTCCTGCTTTCTACTGTTCCAGGAACAAACATTTAATAATTCTCTTTTTATAAATTCATTATCCTTTTTCTTTAAAATGTTAAAAAAAAAAAGAATA